AGTCATCTCCCTGCTCTCACACAGGGCAGCACAAGTTGTGTTTGCCTGTCGCTCATGGGCAGCATCCTGGGTACAAAGCCCTCCTGCCCCTTATCCCCCACTCTTCTTTCCCCCTTTCTGACTACTACTCTCAGCTGTTCTTCCATGTGGATACAAGTGATTCTGCCAGGAGACTCCTGGGCAGGGTCAAAAGTGACTACAGAGCTCTGGGGCTGGTAGTCAAGGGCATGGGGACCCAGGTGGTGTTCTTAATCCTGCTGTTGAGGTCTGAAAGGGTATGAGGAGTAGGATAGTGATATTATAGGCCAACAATTGGCTGTAAAGCTGGTTTTGGCAACAGGGTTTTGGACTCACTGACTAATGGATCCTCGTTGCAGATCATCATCCTCTGGGGAGAGATGGGATTCCCTCACCAAGCAGGGCAAAGCTGCGTATGCCAATCGGATGGCTGGCCCCATAAGGAGGGCTTTAAACTGAGAGTGATGGGGGAAGGCGAGACTACCTAGCAGTCCTGTTAGGGAGTGACAGACAGAGCAAAGGCCATGGGGTGATGTGACAGAAACGAAATGTCAACTCAACAAAATGGGGCTTGAGTGCGGTCAACTCCAGGACTTGTATTTCAATAAGGACATGCCTATAAGGCACCATTACAGCAGTCAATGTGCTTCTGTGCTTCTGTGAAGTGTCTGTCCACCAACAAGGGCCATACAGGGAATAAACATGATGATTTAGAGACCTGGGTGCAGTTTCAGGGCTCTGATCTTGTTGCAAACACGGGGACATGGTGGGATGTGTTCCCATGACTGGGGTGTTGCAATGGAGGCACACAGGGTCTTTGGGAAGGACAGGCTGGGAAGACAAGGAGGGAGAGTTGACTGTTATGGGAGAAAGCAGCTGGAGGGCACGAGGAAGGGAGCTGGAGTGCAGGGAGCTCACTTGGGGTTGGGCAAGGAGCCAACGGAGAGCTCACAGGTTAGGATTAAAGAGAAGAGAGATACAGGTGACAGTAAGAGTCTGCTAAAAGCCATCTGACTGCGAAGGACAAGTGGATGAGGCCCTCTACAGACAGATAAATGTAGCTTCATGTTCACTGGTACTTGTGGGGGACTTTAACCACTCTGGTATCTGCTGGAGGGACAACATGACAGGACATAAGGAATCCAGGAGGTTCCAGGAGTGTGTTGTTGATAGCTTCCCTCCCTGAGTGATAGAGGAACCATTGAGGAGGGGGGTGTCTTCTGGACCTCTTACTTGCCGACCGCAGGGACCTTGCTGGAAATGTGTAGGTCAAAGACAGCCTCAACTGCAGTTACTGTGAGATGGTAGAGTTCAGGATCCTGAGGGGGATGGACGTGTGGGGGTGGGGTGGTAGGTAAAAAGCAAGCTCACAGACCTGGACTTCAGGAGAACAGACTTTAGGCTCCCCATATGTCTGCTCGGAAGAGTCCTGTGGGATAAGGAGCTAGAGGGATGATGACCCCAAGAAAACTAGTTAATATTCAAGGAATCACTTCCTCCAAGCTCAAGAACAGTCCATTCCTGTGAATAGAAAGAAAGGCAAAAATGCCAGGACGTGTCTCTTGTACTCTCCCCAGTACAAGAGAGACATGGGCATACTGGACAGACTCCAGGGAAGGACCACAAAGATGATTAAGGGACTGGAGAACCTCTCACATGAGGAAAGGCTGGGAGTGTTGTGACTGTTCAGCCTGGAGAGGACATGGCTCAGGGTGGATCTTATCACTGTGTATAAATACCTGCTGGAAGGCTGCAGAGTATGGACCCAGGCTCTTCTCGATGGTGCCAGTGACAGGACAAGAGGCAATGGGCACCACCTGAAACACAGGATGAAGCACACTCTGATCACCAAGAAACACTTCTTCATTGTGAGGGTGACAAGCCCTAACACAGATGAACCAGGGAGACTGTGAAGTCTCCATCCTTAGGGATATTCAAAAATCATCTGGACAAGCTTCCTTGTAGGCCCCTTTGCTGCAGGTCTTAGAATCATAGAAAGGTTTGGGCTGGAAGGGACCTTAAAGACCATCCAGTCCCACTCCCCTGCAATGGGCAGGGACACCTTCCACTAGACCAGGTTGCTCCAAGCCTCATCCAGCCTGGCCGTGGACACTTCCAGGGATGGGGCATCCACAGCTTCTCTGGGCAACTTGCTCCAGTGGCTCACCACCCTCTGTGGGAAGAATTTCTTCTTGATTTCCAAGCTAAATCTCCCTCTTTCAGTTTAAACCTGTTACCCCTTGTCCTGTCACTCCCTGCCCTTGGAAAATGTGTCCCCCTCCAGCTTTCTTGTAGGCCCCGCAGGTACTGGAAGGTGCTATGAGGTGTCCTTGGAGCCTTCTCTTCTCCAGGCTGAACAAGCCCAATTCTCTCAGTTGTGCATTGTCTGGAGCTGCGGCTCATAAACGTGTGTGTTGCAGATAGGACACAAGAGTTCAAGTCTGCAGGAGCACCCTGTGGTGATTGCACTGGGAGAAGAAAGACAGATTTGGTGCAGCCTGTGCCCATCCTTGGGGCAGAAAATGGTCCAGAGCCCAGTTGCAAGTTAGTTATTGCATGGCACAGATAAACAGATAGCAAAGGTGGTGGTGTAAAACAGGATGCAGACAGTGTTCAAAACAACTATAATCAAAACCAGAAAGCAATTTACGGGATCTTTCACCAGAAACAGCATTGACTTTTTATATCTTCAGCTAGTGCAAAGATGTCCTATCTGAGAACCGATCTCACTCAGCTGTTTTGTAACACTTCCTCACATATTGCTCTACTCAACATCTTTTACCTCAAGGGAAAATCTTATTATTAGTCTGAATTCAGAGGTCAGGAATATTCAAGGTTCATAAACACTGTGACTTTTAACAACTCAACTAACATTAGAGCAGTCTTCCCTAACCTGTCTACAAGGCATCTTAAGCTGGATGAGCAAATCCCATTTTACATCCTGGGTTAACCACATAAATCTGTATCAGCACACCATGGCTTTATTTTGGTTTTTCTAGACATCTCTCATTGTCTCCTGCTCAGTATCCCATTTTATTGAATAACTTGTCAGATTTGAGCCCTATCTGCACTTCTCCTCTAATTTATTTGATTTTATACCTTTCTATTCTGGGGACTCCTTCTGTGGAAGTACAGCTGGAACTTGGTTTCAGCTCTCATAATCTTGGAAAATTCTCTGGCATGACACTGATCATGGCAATAATGAAGTGGTGAGAAGCAATGGCTTCTCATTTTTATTGACATTCTCCATTTACCCTGTAGCAACAAAGAAAAAAATCCCAAGGAAACACAAAATGCTTAAGGTTGGAAGGGACCTCTGGATGCCTTGATCAAAGCAGGTCTAGTTAGATGAGGATGCTTGAGCTTTGAACTCCAAGGATGGAGTTTTCTCACCTTGTTCTAATAGTTGACCATCCTCATAGTAAAAAGCTACCAAAATTTTTTCCTTACATTTATTCAGAATTTCTCTTGTTGCTGCAGGTGCCTGGTTGCCTCTTGCCCAATCAAGGTGCATCTCCACGAAGATGTTGTATGGACAGAAAAATGTAGGAAGGACATTGAGCCCCAAACTGATTTCTGAGTCTTACAGAGATTGTTACCCAAGGAGGGCGTGAAGTCTCCATCCTTGGAGATATTCAAAAGCCAAGTAGACAATGTCCTGGGCAACCAGCACCAGGTGGCCCTGCTTGAGCAGACGGGTTGGACCAGATGACCTCTGGAGATACCTTCCAACCTCAACTCGCCCGTGTTTCTGAGTTTCTGCACAGAGCAGGTGGCAACCGAAACCACGAGTTTCAAAATGCACAAAGTCCGTTTGTAGATACACCCAATTACTGTGTGTGTTTTAATTTTCACTTCCTCTCTGCTGCTTAATCATTTGCAGACAAGGTGTTAGAAAGTGTGTAAGAAGACGAGCTGTGGTATGTCGAGGCACAGAAGACTTCCTTAGTGCTCCGAGTTGGTGAAGTATTGACCACCGAACAAAATGCAAGTCAGAAAACAGTATGTGAGTTTTTTTAAAAAACATTATAATGTGTTGTCTGTATCATTTTATACCATAATTATGGTTGTGGTTGAAGAAATAATGGAGCTGGAATTTAAATGTCCTCAGAAGAAGTCATTAAAAGAACTGTATGTCGTTTCCTACTTTTGCTGCCCGGCATTCATTGCATTGTTCATGAGCTTGACCTCCCACCCTGCCTGCTCTCCCTGTGATTGCTCGTGCCGGAAGCGTGAGATACTTTTCAAGTCAATTCTACCTCCTCTGATCTGGTGTGTAATCCTACTGTGCGATGGCAGATACATAGCCTGTGTGGCTTCAACAAATAAAGGAAACAACACTCAAACTGCAAAACAAAGCACAGGAGCAGGATTACCAAGTGAAAACTACATAATATCACAGGTAAGAGTCCTAGGAATCTAGGATTTTAGGTATTTAGATATGACCTATTTGGTGTGTGTGAAGAATCTGGAATGTATAGCAGTACGGGAACAATTTCATGTGGAGCAAAGAACTGTTACATTGCAATTATTCTTTTTTATTTGGTATGTGTTACTACTTGTGCATTACCTTTTTTTTGTTTGTTTTGGTGCTTCTGTTTTTAATTAATGTATATCACTACAAGTTTACAGTTAGCACATTCTTTCTGAGGCTAAAACCTGAACTTTGAACATCTTGCTTCCTGGTTATTCTGGAAGTTTATGCATGCTCTTTGCATCTTGTTCTTAAAGTGAGTTTTATGAAAATAAGAAATAAGATAATGTACTGTTTGGGACTTTCCGATATTCCTTGTTTCAGTGGGTCAGTCATCTTACCGTCAGTCATTATCTAGCCATGGCAGAGGCAAGGAATGTATTTTATAAGAACTATATGCTTAATAATAATGTGAAGTTTTTAATATGGTAAAGTACTCCAGTTGTTCCGGTGCAAAACATTTTCAGGAATGTCCAGTCATCAGTTTTAACATTTTTTTTTCTTCCAGGTTGTAGGGATGTTCGCTCTTACTGGTGTTGTCATTCTTTATGGCCTGTACCACATGTGCCCCTACTGGTTCTGCTGTAGGTCTGAAAAAGAGTATCGGAGAGAGGAGCTGAAGACCCTGTTGGAGGAAGAAACAAAGAAACATATTGAAGAAATGAAGCAAAAGGGTGCAGAGCAGATAATGGAAGAGAAAGTGAAACCTTATTTCCAATATGATAATGCTAATTTCTGGAATAGCATAGATTTAAAAAACATAGTGACAAAAGTAAATGAAGCTGTGGATTCTGCTGTTGGAGGTATGGGGATGAGGGGACAACAAGCAGTGCAACAAAGTCTGCCCCTCACCTCCTACAGTGACACAGTCACGGCACAACTGACTTCAGAAGCTAACACCCAGTTCACAGGAGGTGGGCAGCCACTGATCCTGAAAAGACCAGAGCAGGTCCCAGTGCAGCAACTCCGGGCTGCTCAACCTACCGATCCCAGGCTTGACTAGAAAAAGCCCTCACCCTGCTCCCACCTCACTCCTGGCCATTGAAGCAGCTCTGGCCCTGACAGTGTAGTCAGAAGAGTTAAGTTGGGTTTTTATTGTCCTGCTCCAGCTACGGTCGTCAAGCTGACAGGTACCATCAGATAGCACTGATCACCTTATCATCCCTCTTCCTATTTCTTGGCCCTTATTTTGTTGCCCTTTTACCTCTCTTTCTTCACCCCAATTCCAGGTATCAATTTTGTTATATCTGTACCCCAGACTGGTATTTCTAGTCCTGTTACCTAGACAATCCCGACTACTCCAGTTTTGCCTTTGCATAAAACAAGGAGGAAATAAACAGAGAAGAAGGAAACATCTTCAGATCTTAAAGGATAGAAGAAATGTGATATAGTCCTTCCTGATCATTGTGCTGGTTTGCACTGTTTCCGCTTGCAGGAATTAGCTAGTGCCTAATCCAAATAAAACTTACTGAGCACAAATCCAGAGTCAGTGTCTCTATCACCATCAAAGGGTGACCACATAAATTAGGATGCTCCATTTATCCTTAGGTGAATCAGCTTTCGGGGAGGTATGGTAGTCAGCTTTCTGGAAGGAAAAAAACCTAGTCTAACCTGTTGCTCAGAAGAGGAGAAATAGGGAATGAGCATCATGCACACTTGGCCTTTGGGTTCAGAATTTGGAACTCAGTTCCATTGTTCTTTCCACCCCAGCAGAGCTCTGCTTGCCTGATTGCATGCCAGGAACTTGCAGGCTGCTGCTGTTCTTGCAAAATTTATTCATCTTCATGAAGCCCTATGGGATGGTAGAGGGATGGCAATCTTCCCCACCTGCTTTTTTACAAAGAGCCCATGAGTGAGGATCAATAGGATCAATGGCCAGGCATGGCCATGGCTATAACATAGCTCAGACAGGGACTCAAGCCCCAGGCTTGAGCTTAAATGGAGATTCTGGAACCTAAATGGAGTTCCAAGGTATGTGGATGGAGGCCCCAACCCAAGAAGGTTGCTCACTGCTCACTTGCCAACTAGTCTTCAATCCTGCAGGGCCAGAGACCACAGACTTTCCAATGAAAACATTTTAGAGAGAGCTATCACAGCCCAAGTTCGTGCCTTAGCTGTGTTTCCCCAAGCACTTCCACCCCCAACTTGTTTACCAAAACAACCAAAATCTGGAACCTGGCATAAAACCAAGGAGCACTGATTCAGCAGCACAGATCAGGGCATGCTTTTTACCTAAAGCCAAAATGAAAAGTGAGGCTCTTGTTGGGCACAGAGATGTTTCTCTGTGCTGGCTTTGGTCAGGACAGAGTTAATTTTCTTCCCAGTGCCTGGTATAAGGCTGTTTTTGGATTTGCCCTGAGAATAGCACTGATAAGGGGTTTGTTGGTTGGCGCTGGGGAGTGTGTGCACCAATTCAAGATGTTCTCCAGCTCCTGATCCTGCTCCTGTTCTCAACTTTCCCACTACAAGCAGAGTTGGGGGGGACACACGGTTCAGACAGCTGACCCAAACTGATCCCGAAGGGGTATTTCATTCCGTAGTGTGACATGCTCAGCACATAAGCTGGGACTACGCTTGGAGACCATAGCTCCTTTACTTGCTCGCTTGTTCATTAGCTTGCTACCTTGCTCGTTTGTTAGTGAGCTGGTGGGTTGGTTGGCTTTCCTGGTCATGTGGTCGCTTGTGAAGTCCCTCAAACTCTGCTGTGATTGCTCTCGGACTCCGGCTCTTGGGCTCTCTGGTTCTGCCTCTGGCTACTCGGGACCTGGCTGTGTATCGGTTGGTGAATGATGAACAATTGTATAGTATGGTTTATTTTCTTTTATTTTAATTACTTATTATTAGTAGTATTGTCAATATTATTACTATCACTATAACATTAATTAATATTTAATTATTAATTTGTTCTTATCTCAATCCACAAGCTTCCTTGTCTTTTCCTTCAATTCTCTTCCTCCACTGTTGGGGGGGTGGAGGTGAGCAAGGAGCTGCGTGGTCCTTCATTTTTGGCCAAGGTTAAACCATGACACTGTTGAGGGAAGTGCTGATGCTTGCACATTTCTGGCTGGGGTCCATCCTGACTTCTGTAGTTCGGCTTTCTAGACATGCAAACTGCATAAACACTCTCTTGGGTCAGAAATCTGCCAAAAAAGACAAGAAGAAGAGCAGGCAGGAGTTTTGCACTCTTTATCGACCTACTGCTGGAGGACAAGTTGGGATGAGGCATTACTACTTCTGCTGCACTTTGCGCTGCTCAGGATGCTGAAGCCAGAATGGCCAGACCTGCTGCTCAAATGACAGTTTTCTGGGTGAACCCCCCGAAAACTTGAGAACCTCTGTCCTTGTCCTTTTAGAGGATGCCCTAACTACATCATGAGACCTTTTTCTGGGACGGAAAAGGGCTGAAGGGGGAAATAACTCATACAAACCGTGAGAAGAAAACTGGAAGCCATTCAGAGGAAAAGAAAAGGTATGGAGTTTGAGATCTCAGGCAGGGATCAAGAGTACACTGGAGAGACAAGAAATCAGAGGATCCCCAGTAGCACTTTCAGATGTCCAGCAGACCAGAAATGCTCTCCTTGGAGTTTTCTGAGATGGGATCCCACTGTTTCTGGGATCTCTCCCATTAAACTTTGTCCTCTTAGTGATGTGAGCGGCCAGCTTGACCAGGGCTGAAGACCTCCTGCAACTTGTTGTGGCTTGGATGGGGATATGTTGAAGAAAGCAGGAGCTGGAGGTGAGGAGAGGGTACCCAGAGGACACAGAAGGTTTAGAGGTAAGATTCATATTGGAGCTGGTGGCAGCTGAATGACAGGGCACTTGCTTGGGTATGTTTTGAATGGAGCGCAGTGTGCGCTGGCAGCCCAGAAGGCCAACCGTATCCTGGGCTGTATCCAGAGAAGCGTGGCCAGCAGGTCGAGAGAGGTGATTCTGCCCCTGTACTCTGCTCTAGCGAGACCCCACCTGGAGCACTGCATCCAGCTGTGAGCCCTCAATATCAGAAGGATATTGACCACTTGGAGCGAGTCCAGAGGAGGGCCACAAAGATGATCAGAGGGCTGGAGCCCCTCTCCTATGATGAAAGGCTGCAAGAATTGGGCTTGTTCAGCCTGGAGAAGAGGAGGCTCTGAGGACACCTCATTGCAGCTTTCCAGTACCTGAAGGAGGCCTACAAGGGTGCTGGGAGAGGACTTTTTACAAGAGCCTGTAGTGATAGGACAAGGGGTAACGGGTACAAATTGAAAACAGGGAGGTTTAGATTAGATATCAGGAAGAAATTCTTCACAGAAAGGGTGGTGAGGCACTGGAACAGGTTGCCCAGAGATGTTGTGTATGCCCCATCCCTGGATGTCTTCAAGGCCAGGCTGGATGTGGCTTTGAGCAACCTGGTCTAGGGGAAGGGGGT